ACCAGATTTCATGAAATAACTCTCATGGTCTTACTATCGGTTAAAGCTAATATCTCACAAAATTGATTATGTTTTCTTCAAAGCTTTTCTTATGTCCTTTATGTTAAAGTATTTGACCATATTTCATGATGTACATGTCATTTCTTCGTTAAAACTTTTAAATGTTTACACATTGGTCATGCCTCACATATTTTTAAGTCATTCATGTCATCATGTTTATCTTATGCATATTGCCTCATATTTAGCACATTCCATGTACTAATGCATACTTGTGACTACATTATCTCATGAATCTAGGGTCCGACGATCCTACCTTCCATACTCGTGGTTAGTTGACCTCGTTGACGATTCAAAGTTCAAGAGTTGGTGAGTCCTCATGTTCCGAGGACTATGATACTACTATTTTTTTTTTACTTTCGTATTCAGATTTTGTATGTGATGTATGGGTTACGTCCCAATCACTTTCCTTATGATGTATTAGATGACTTTTGAGACTTATGTTTAGACTTCCGCTTTGTCACACTCTTTTGAAATATGAAAATGTTTTCTTTGACTTCTTTAAATTCTATTATCTTGTATGATATATGCTAAGTGGCTTGTGTAGGGCCTCTCGGGTCTTATAAGCCATGTTATGCATAGGGTATACTTTGAGTCGTGACAAAATTTTGGATCAATGAGACCTTGAATTCGTAGTTAGATGGTTCTATTGAGTCTGAAATGTCGAGTTTAGTCAAGTTGCATATATGATTTATGTGTACGGGGTTCTGAACGAATCCCGAGGGTCCATTTGATGATTTAAAAGTTGGCTGAATTTTCTAATGCCTGGGTTTTGTACCCTTCGCGTTCGCGATAGGTCTTGCGCTTTTGTGACCCTCGCGAAACAAAAGGTTCAATTGCTAAAGCGAAGGTCGACATTTTTTGCAGGGTTAGCTTTTTCGAACATGTGGTCGCTTTAGCGGTGTTCACTTAAGCAAACTTGGGTCACTTTTGCGAGAACAAAGAGGGATTTTAGACCTGAAATTTCTGAGTTTAACCCCCATTTGCCATTTTTGAATTTTGCAAACCCTTATAGGTGATTTTGAAGAGATTTCTTTTGTTAAATCATTTGGGTAAGTCTTTGTAACCCTAAAGCTTCAATTTCCTTTTATCATTGATGAATTTTAACACCAAAATTTGAGATTTTGATTGGCAAATGATAACGATTTTCAAGAACTTGGGTTCTAAAGTAAAATGATGAATGTGAACTGATTTTAACTTCTTTTTGCGAAATGACTTTCACTAATGAGCTCCAAATGTCTTAGGTAACATTTTCATGTAAAGATATTTGGATTCGAACTTCATATTCGAAATTGGATTTTTGAGTTGATTTGACCCATTTTTCAAAATGTATGATTTAGGAGTTGTTATTTCTAGAATCTTATTGGGATTACTTAGTTGAACTAGATTGTGTGGCTTTGGACATTGTTCGAAAAGGAAAGACTTAAGTCTTGGATTGACTTTTGATTGAATTGAGGCAAATGACTTCTAAACCTTGTAAAACTTGTAGAATCGTATATTTTCCTTCATTGTGTGTGTGGAGGGGGGGGAGTAATGGGAATAAGGTGACAGGTTCAATTATTCCACTTGATTGATCTTAATGAATAAAAAAGGCAATATGTTGATAATTGTGCTTTGTGAATTGTCTTGATGTGGACCCTAACTTGTTGATTGATGAAATGTTTTGATGGCATTATTGTGGACTTGAATTGCTTGAGTTTATTCTCTCTTCCTTATGGTGTAAAATTGCTTATTTGCATTGATTCTATGCACCATGATGAGACATGATTGTGATTATGCCAAAGGAAAATGGTTTCGACAAGTAATATTGTATAAAGCCGAAGGAAAATGATTTCGGCTAGTGATATAAAGCCGAAGAAAAATGGTTATGGCTAGTGATATTGTGTCGAAGGGAAATGGTTCTGACAAGTGATATTTATAAAGCCGACGGGAAATGGTTCTGGCTAGTGGTTTAAATTCGAAGGAAAATAGTTCTAGCTAGTGATCTGGTGCCGATGAAAAATAGTTCTGGCAACTACTTGACTATAGTGAATTGATGCATTTGATAGTTGTGATTGATCTATTTGATACTTGTGAATGATCTATATGATACTTGTGAATGATCTAATTGATACTTGTGATCAGTCTACTTGCTACTTGTTATTGACATACTTGATACTTAATTGTTGTTGAACTGAGACTGTTGGATTTTGAGTATTAAGCCTTGTGAATTATATATTGTACAACTGTTACGTTGGGGGCAGATCTCTATGCAGGTTGTAGTTGAGGAAGTTCGGTTGGAATGAAAGAAGTACTCGTACTCTAGCTAGCTTTTCTTTGTTTAGTAGGTTGATGTTGAGTACCGTGTTATTTGGTACTCACTCCTTACTTCTACACTAGAGTAGGTTCCGAGCTCGAACCCATGTGATCTTCTTCTATTTTCGAGGCTTTTCGAGGATACAGTGAGAGGTAGTTGCTCGTTATCCAGGCGGGGCCTCTCGTTCCTTCTTTTATGTTTTGTTCTACTCTAGAAACAAAGACATTGAGACTTATATTATCTTTTAAATTTTGCAGTTAACATTAGTGGCTTGTACACGTGACAACCAAGTTTTGGGGTTATATTAGAATGACTAAGTTTTCCACTTTCATGTTATTATTATTTTACTTTCGCTTTTCTTTCATTTCGTTGGGTTTGAGGCTGACTTGTCTTGGATTTAGATGAGTGTCATCATGCCATTATTTATGCATGTTTCTGTTAGGAGTTTACTTAGCACCAAGTGAACCTAGGGATGAAGGGTTACACGCTAGTAGAGGCATGAGACCTTTAGTAACAATCCCTTTATCCCATAACTACGTTCAATCATAGGATATTGTTTAGATGGACATTAGCTAGTGGATCCACCTTAGCTCAGATTTCATGGTTCTTACCTTGGCAAATAGGACACTCTCTTTTCGGTGTGGCAGCAGTACATTGACCTCTAAGTTATAGCTCACATGATTTATATTGTTTAATGGTATCTCCCACAATATGATATGATTTTCAGTTATTGCATGACCATGTACTATGTTTTCAGATCAAATCATCAGTTTTCATGTTGTGTTTTACTTGATCATTGAATTAACATGTTTTCAGACTTATCATGTTTTAACATCATGTTTATGCATTTTTCTCATGCTCAGTACATTCCAAGTATTGATCGCATACTTGTCTACCCATATTGTTTCATAATATAAGTTCTAACGCGCATCCTTCAGGCCGCAGTTAGTACAAACTTTGATCAGCATAGTACCACTTTTGGTGAGTCCTCATGTTTCGAGGATGACCTATGACGACTTTCTTTAGTACTTCTTTATAGTTTCAGACAATTTAGAGTTAGCCGGAAACTTGTCTTATCAACTCATTATTTGTAAAGACTTTCAGACAAATAGTAAATTTTTGCGTGTGTGTATTAAATTCTCTTTTATGATATGTTAGACTGCTTTGAACTTGATTTGGCTTTTCAATTTATTCAGTCTATTTTATGCTCGTTGGTGTCATGTCATGCGGTTAGCTTGGGATCATTTGTGGCTCTAAACATTGTGTATGAGAGAGAATATTATAGAAATGTGTGACTAATGAAACGAGTTCTACTCCCTCCGTTTCATATTAGTTATCGACATTATTAAAAATATTTGTGATAAAATACTTATCAATTTATAAAATCAAGTTACAATGATTTTTATTTTCATTTTATTCTTAGAATTAAATATTTTTTTTAAAAATAAACAACATTAATTACATTGAAAAAAATTAAAAAACAAATGAGTACAAAATACCCTTTTTTTATAATTCCTTAAAGAAATTGTTTTAAAAAAAACAAATGTGATAACTAATACTCTCTGTCCCTAATTACTTGTTCACTTTTGAATTGATACACCTATTAAGAAGACAATTATTGATATAGTGAGTTTATCATTTTATCCCTATTAATCGCTCTCTCTGTCCCTAATTACTTGTCCACTTTTCCTTTTTTAGCTGTCCCTAATTACTTGTCTATTTTGACAAATCAAGAAAAGACAATTTCTTTTTACCTATTATACCCTCAATTAATTACTTTGAAAAAAATAGAACTTTTTGAAAATCTTAAGTTTTTAATTTATCTACTTCATACTAGGGGTGTGCATTCGGTTTTTCGGTTTGGTTTTATACTATTCGTTTGGGTTTTTCGGTTTTTGGTTTTGAAGAAGTGTAACCCAATCCAAACCAAAATAAATTTGGTTTGGTTTGGTTTTTCTCTTTTTGGTTTGGGTTTTTTCGGTTTGGTTAATCGGTTATGTCAATAATTAGAAACATAACAAAGTTATATTTGCAATTTTAAAAAAATTATATATATATATATATATAATATTGAATTTCTTAAATATACTTTTTAATATAAATCACAAGTAAAAC